GTGTACGACAAAATATATGCTAAAACCGGCTAGATAGTTGGCTAGATCAAGACATTCTATCCTTCTAGACGGTGCTCCATTAGTACAGGGACAGATGTAATAACAGTTCACCGTTTAATGGGCCTTCACGGGAATGGGGAATGGACTATGATTCTAAAACACTACCACTATTACTGTCCAGCCGTGACATTTGCGCAAGACTAGCGTTTCGGGAAACAATTCTCTGACCGTGTAGTTGAGATGAATTCAGAAAAATTCCAACAATTGAGAAAATAAAAATAAGAGGCATTCAGCCATATCGTAATGGGCCTATTTTCCTAAGATCGTCGGCCGCTGACCAACGGCAGCGTCAATTCAACTCAACGTTAGTCTTAATCGAAAAATCTGGATTAAGTTTTTAACATGTATGCTTTGTAATTTATTTTAATAAAAATTTCTCATAAGAGATTAACGGTCATTTTGGGCAACGTGCTCAGCATGATTTGACGTCAAGTTGTCAAATTATAGTTTAACGCAGTTTAACACGATGACTGCGGCTATAATAGTCACCACCTCTTCTTGCAAGCACAACATTTTGAATTCGGTTATTCGTGTGTATATATATAATATAATCGACGTTTTGTAACCGCTGAAGCGGTTTTCGGCCGAGCTCCTCCTCTAAGTTGTGGCATGTGTTTGTGTGGTTTTTCAAACAAATGGAGGGGCACATAATTTATACTAAGGCGCCTCCGAACGGATGGTGCCTTTTTATGAGGAACGTTAATTCAGAGGGGTTGACATTCCTTGTCGAGGGTCGACCGAAATTATAAAATTTAATACAATTTTTTATTTAAATTAATTTTCTATAATTTTTAAATTTCTTGGATGTTGGTCGGATTAGGACTCGAACCCTGGCCTTGCGAATGGCAGTACGCTATGCTAACCGCTCGGCCATCGCGGCCACTTATTACTTTACTATTATGAACGTATCGGTGTGTCGTTGTACAGAGTGTCAATGCAGCCAACGAGCGATACATTTTCGTTATGACTTGGCTTGCGGCTATTGCTATTTGTGTGTTTTCTTATCTTTTATTTATTTTTTGTAAATTTTTTTCGTTAAAACACATGCGAGTATGTATGTATGTGTGTATATTGGTTATTGGTTTATGTAAATCCGAAAACGTTACAGCCGTTACAGCCGTTTCAGCCCGTTGGATGCAAGTAAGAAAATGTGGGAAGCCATACAAAATTCAACACCACAACATTTCCATACGAATTGCTTTGCTAGCCAAGTATAATTCTACAAAATGAACACATTTTTTTTTGTTTTGTGATGCATATGTATATGTACATACGTCTGTATGGATGTATGTGTGCATATGTATGCATGCATTTTATATTGAATAATAATTTTGATTGCTTTGACAGTTACTAATTTCAATTTATGGCGATTTAGAGGCAGTTAATAGCGTAAAATTCGTTGTAATATGCATACATATATACGTGTATGTACATACCCTGCGGAGCAAAGGCGAAAACTTCGGAATGCACAAATATTACTTTTTAAGTACTGTATCTTAAAGATGAAAACATATCAACTCGTTATTAGTATTAGCAGCTCACAACACTTTGTCTACTGATACGAGTCTGTTCCATTGAAATTCCAATTATGTCGTTGTTTTTATTCAACACACATAAATCAACTACTATGTAACTAGTATGAAGCTGATGCATAATTTAAAATATAAGGCAGTTCGACATCGCCTTGTTAAAAACACCATCAACAAAACACCAGGACAAATAATGGAAGACGAACTACAATAGTTAGTGTAAAAATGCAAACTAAGAATAAGATCATTCAGCAAAGTCTTCCATAAAGTGGATGGGCGGCGGCGAATGGAGCACACTGTAAAGCACTAGAGTAAACGCGGTGTGGAAAAGATCCATGGTTACTCAAGTTACCGACACTCCTGGGCGATTATATCGGCCAAAATTTGCACGCAGCGCATGATGTTTCGACGTCGAATCGCACCATTATTTGGTTATAAATTTGGAAGATTTGCTTTTGAAAGTAGCGAACGCAACTTATTCCATTCACAATAGTAATGAAAAACTGTCAAATGGAGCGGCATTGCTATATTGAAATTCGCAAATGCACTGCAAAACGCATTACATCCACAACTGCTTTGAAAAAGGTATGATTCATACATTAATGCAAATAAATCCATCTTATGCAGATAATACTTCTTGTCTGTCACCCCAAGAAGATGTCAAAACATAGTTTTTTTCTTTTTTAGACAATAAAATTCTTTTATTTGTCAGATAGAAAAATAAAATGATATATATATTTTTTTAATTTAAGTAAAGATATTTTTATTATGTTTTGCAGCGATAAGTTTAGTTTATTTGGTTTCGCTCCAAACTCACACGTTTTGCTTTTATGTTTAGAAATACTTAGAAGCTCTTGCTTTAATGTCTCTTTTATTACTTTTTTGTACAAAATTTAGTGCTTTTTAATTAAATTACAATTTTTTTTTTTGAATAATTTAAAACATGTTCGCTTCATTTTATTTATTTTATCTGCCAGACGTTATAAAAATTATATAATATAACTAATAGATGCAATTCAATTTCGGGATTGTGGCTTGTCAATTGCTGAGAAATTAATCCTCATAAATCATAATAAAATCGCTGTTGTTGTTGTTTTTTTTTCTTCAATTAAAAGACATAAATTTTCTTTCATTTATTTTTCCGCATGATTTCACTTTTGCATTATCAATTTCACGCTGCCCTGTATATACATATATATAAATAATTTTTTTCAGTTTTTCACGCAATTCTCAATCGGCACAGTGTCCCTGAAAGTTTTTATCCGTTCGTTTTTATTTTAGCAAAAATAAATCTGGTCTGCATATCGTCTCTGCTTTATTTATTTATTTTCGTTCTTTCGGAAAGGAAAATAGACATAATTAATTAATTTTAAAAGGTTAAAATCATTTCTTTTGCGTTTTTCGTATTCTGAGTTGTCTTATTCTGTTGTTTGTTGTTGCTTTTTTTTTTTGTTTTCTGTTTTCTGATTTCTGATTTCTGATTTTTCTGAAATGAATTTTGTTGATTTTCACGGAGAAAAGATTTTATAAAAATTCACAAGACGAAAATTTCTTTAATTAAGTTGAAAAGATTTTCTTATTTATATGTTACGCGTGGTTGTCTGCTGCAACGCTTTCCATTAATTTATGTACGCAAAATGGGGTTTATAGCTAAGTGAAAATAAATCGAAAAAAATATAAAAAAATATTAAAATACCAAAATAAAGCATGAAAATTAAAAATAACAACAAAGGAACTCACATGGAATATGTGCCAGTGGATAGTTGTTGTTGCCAGCGCACACTCGAGCAACAACTGCTGGTGGCATTGATGACGAATACTCGTAGCCCATAATCGCCGTTCGTGCTGGCGTTTGTATTGGCATTCGTATGTACTCGTATGTATATGTACGTGTAGCCTGTTTTGTATATCGAATTGTGCCAAATTGAATTGAACTGAATTGAATATCGATGTGAATGAAATGAAATTAAGATTTCAATTGAAAATTAAAAGCACTATTAAAAATCAATCAAAACGAAGATAAAATACAATAGTAAATAATATTTAATTGCTGCACCGCATACGAATGTAGGCTAGTGGTGGGTGGCCGCCGCAGTGGGGTAGGCAGGGACTGTCAGGTTTTACTGAGCACCAGCGGCCGTACAGCGAGCCAGACCATCGCCAACATGACCACCATCACCATCAGCATTTATGTTGATTGACTGGCGCCAACAATTTCGAGCAATTTATTTATTTCGTTTGACTATTGCGCGATTAGAACTGGCGAACGCTCGCTGCTGCTATGTAAGCGATCAAAGCCAAAATAAAACCAAAAATAATGATAATAAAAAAACCCACCACATGCAGGGGAACCATTTTGCGCTTTCGAAAATAAACGTAAATAAAGTGCATTTCATAGTTTTTTCATGAAATTCAAGTTTTATATGTGAAACACGACGCCATTCAAATGACCGCCTCGCGAAGTTTCGCAAACATTGATCCATTTGGGGTAGTCTTCGACCCCTTTGCGGCACATATTGGGCAGTATCTCAGCCATAACTTGAAGGGGATCGGTGCTCAAGAATTAAAAGTTAATCCGCATAAACACGGTCTCGTCGTTGTCGCTTTCAAAGAAGCAACGTCCATTCATAAAAGACCAAATAGCGCAACAGTAAGGAATTTTTTTTTCTTTGGTTTTGGGTTGGAACGGCAAAACGGTAATGCACGGGCCTTACAATATCTGTATTCGTTCCTTTCCCCTTAAATCAGGAAACGTGGCCACGTTTGAAACTCCATTTTATTATTACCTCAAACAAAACACGTTTGGTCTGATAGATGTCAAACCACGAATTGGTTTACCCTCTTTATGCAAACATGCAACAATGCCAAAAGTGACTATACGTAAGCGACCAACGCTTGCACTTTGACCACAAAGCAAAGGAAGCAATTAATTTTAAGCAAATTTCGTACACGGGTGCAGCAACAACGTAAAAGAAGAAATGAAATGAAACATTTGATAAAAATAAAATGAAACAATTGGAAAAAATAAAAACTTAAAATTTTTGTTACGCTTGGAAATTTACAAAACAAATGGAAAGCGGAAAAACAGCGAAAAAAATTGATTATGGATCGTATAAGTGATCGCGATGACGAACCGACGCTGACGAGCCGACGTTGACTCAGCCTTGTAAGCCAATTTGTGTGTTGTTGCGACGGCAATGCGATTTGGGTTAATTACGGCTTATTGGCTTAAATTGAAATTGTTTTCTGATTACTTACTAGCTTAGATAGCGTACATACATACATTTGTATACATAAAATATAAATTGCAAAAAAATTATGTACGATAAAATACCAAATATTAACTAAGAAATATGTTTTATTTTTATTTGTTTGTAATTAAACAATTTTTTATAAACTCTTTCATTACAGTTTCGGAGTGTCAATTTGGCAAGACAGTACGAGAGATCGGCTCCACATGGTTTGCGGATCTTGGGCCGCCATTCGGAGTTATGTACTGTATACGATGTGAATGTGTAGCGGTAAGTACAGCATTCATCTACAAAGACAGTGCTTTGACCAGGCCAGCAAAAACATGTCGCCAAAAAGCAAGTTATATAATGCTATCCATTTTTTCATTGAGCTGCCCGCCAGCCAAATATTTTTTGGGGTGTAACATACGCAACACATACATATATAAATTTTACTAATATCTTTTATTTTTTAATCTAATATTTATTAGCCTTTTGTTTTTTTTTTGCTTTTTTTTTGCATAGCATTTGCAAAAGTTTAAAATTTTTTTTCTTGTTTCGCCATGGCGTATGAGGAACTATTTGGGTTTTTACGTATTTTTTTTTTTAAATTAAATTTTCTGGTTTTAAGTTTTGCTCGGGGCAAAATTTATGGCCAATGCCGACATGATTGATTCACATTTTAGAGGTCCTTTCACGAATGAGAAATGTTTGCAAATTGCTGCGACAAACTTTCAGCATGACACAGTCTGCAGCTAGTAGCTAACAAAAACAACAGCAAGCAAACCCAATACTCAAATCTGTGTATATGCATACATGCATATATAAGTAGTAGAATTGAACATAGAAGAAAGTAGGTATATGCTCGAGACAGCAACAAACAGCCTTTGACAACTAGAAAATATTAAACAGCAAAGAAAAATCGCGTGCCAAATACAACGGGTAAACACACCCAAACGCACACTTATATGGCTTTACGTAAACAAATGGATACATGTGTACTCGCCACGTTCGCGACACTTCACCCCACAGTCCCATAGTCCATAGTCATGGCTACTCACTTTTGATTTGTGGAATTTCTCGTTGAATTCCTCTTTTTTCGAATCTCTACATTTAGCTGGGATTTTCTTTTCATTCGTCTCTTTTTTCTTATTTCTTTTTTCCCCCGCTAAGCCGCCCAATTTTCTGACTAGTCTCGGAATCAGCTGTTATTGGTTTATGCCGAATTCGTTGGCTGAAAGACGCAAGCAAGTTGTCTGGCAAGGATTAAATGTCTGACAGTTTGTTACATATTATAGGTATGTATTTATGTTTACTAAAATCTTAAGAGGCAAGAACAATGTACAAGTATATACCAAAAGCCGGAAGGGCCCAACTAGTTTATCTTCTTTTCTCTTAAAAACTTTTGAGCATTTGGTATGCTCTAAGGCAAATCCCGAAAAATCCCGTAAACCCGGAGAAGGTATTCTAGGCATTCTAGCATACTGGCTCTTCGTAGTCCTCTGGGCATAAATTTAAATTCATGCTTCAGTGTTGCTTCGCCTTCACCTCCAGACATCTAGACGGAAGGATGCCAGTTAGAAAATCGAGTAGGTGGCGGTGTCTTTTAGACAAAATTATGACACCCCAGTATCGCCTTTCGCTTACCAGATCACTGCAGTGTTTCAGGCAGAGATAGCTGCAATTAAAGAGAGTCGCTGGTTCTCACAAAGAAGAGGCTTACTGCAAAAAAGATATTTATGGATACACAGATGCCAAGCGGCTCTGAATTCTCTTATAAGTGTATTAATCTGGTGGCAAGGCTTGCATCGTACTGCACGATAAAACTGTGACGGATTCTTGGACGCCGGGATAGACGAGGTAACTGCGAGGCAGATGAAGTAACTAGATGAGCCGCTGCTTCCTAATATATATGTATACCCCTGGCTACTTATAAATATATAATTGATAAACATATCAAGTAAAAGGCTGTTGTGATTTGCTACAGGTATTGAACTATTTCAGTGCCAGTGGCATCACAATGGGTCACATAAAGACCCAGACTTTAAAACTTCAATAATATTGAATTATTACTGGAAAGGCGGTAAATGTGAATAGAAATGTATTTTCTGTTTTAAATAGTTCGCTTACGTACTTACACAGCGCAATCGCTTATGACAAAAATATTCACACAAAATTGTTCATAAATAATTATCCAACAATTACAAAAACGATTTTTCTGATGAAAACTTATTTTTTATTCATTTTATATCTGAAAATATGTTTTATTATTTTATTCATTAAAAAACAAAACATAAATAAATAAATAAAAATGCATATATACGATACGTACATATATGTGTATGTATTGTATATATCTACCGTCGTGGTCGCATGCAATCATCAAAAGCATAAAGATGTCATGATAATGAAAGGCCGCAAAGCACAGACTGGGACGTAGACAAAGCGACAGATATTTGTGTATTGATATGAAATACCGCGACTACAAAGTACACCCACTCCTACACACATATGTATGTACATATGTATGTACGAATACTTGTATAGTAACATACAGATATGAGAATATGGAATATATGCGAGCATATACATATATGTATGTATATATGTATGTATGTTAACATATACGTATGCTTGTGCGCATACATGGACGCTTAAATCAGCTACACATTGCCCTAATGGCGGCCGATTCGATATGAAAAGAAGCCAACAAAAATAAAGCCAGAAAAAATAAATAAATTTACTTGCGCCTAGTGGTTGGCTGCTGGCGTCTGGCGTCTGGTGGCTGGTGGCCGGTGGCGTACGGCTGGCGCTTGGTTGCGCCCGCTTGGCAGCTGACATTTCTGTTGGCGACCTCGTGCACATTGTGCAAAAATAAATTGCCGCCATCAAATCTTCGTTTAATTATTAAAAATGTGATAAGCACAGATGTTGGTTTTTCTACTAAATTTGCTCGAATGTCACTGGCGTTAACTTAATATTGGAGTTTATCTGGTTTTTGTCTGCTAACTCTCGATAAATGATAAAACAGCCAAGCGTGCAACGACAGAAAATTTAAAAAGTAAATAAATAAAGTACATACATATGTATGTGCATAGTATGCAACAGAAATATATGTAAATTCATTTGAAAAATAAAAAATAATATTGAAATGAGCAACACATTACTGTTTGATATCTAGAGCGACTTAACCCTGTGACAACGGCATATTTACCACGCCCCACTTTCGAAGTCGAAGTCGAAGTCGAAGTCAAGCTGTAAACAAAAGAAACACTCTTATAAATAATAAGAAGAAATCGCCAACGCGTGAACAAAACAATTGTTTTCTTTGTAATTTGCTGCAGTCGCACTCCCAGCCTTTTTTAAATGCCTGGTAAAATACAGACACGATTGTAAACAGCGCGCAGCCAAAGGCGAGCCATGTAAGCGTTGATACTATGTATGTACATACATACATACATCCATACATAGGAAAAATGCACGAAATGCACGAAATGGCAACGCGCCTGCAAAAGTGGCACAACAACACCAAAAGCGTGCAAGCGCCAAACGCCAACAGTCAAGTTGCCTGGCTATGGCTGTGCTGCGGTTTGAGCTGCTGTTAGGCGCCAACGGCCAGTTGTATTTTTTTCTTCACATTTTTTCTTTCTTTACCTTTTTATTGTATTTTCCCCAAAGTAACGCTGCTTGTCTTGTTGGCGAGCGTGAACGAACGAACGCCAACTGAAACGCGTGCGCACACTCCCAAACTGACCTGACAACTTGCTGTATAATAAAGACGACAACAACAAAGTATTGCTGAAAAAAATCTTAAAACTGAAGAAGAAAAAAACTGTGAACTGCGAACAAATTATAAAATTAAAGCGCAACGAATTCGAGGTGGGGAATTTGTCAACCGCAAATTGGTAGCGAAAAAATGTTCAAAAGTTAATTAGCGCCGATATTAAGAGTTGTCTGTAGGAAATGTCAAAAAGTATGTGGCCATATATGCAGACAGACACCAAATACATATGTATGTATACAAAATACTGATATTTTAATACCAATGTTGTCACAGTTAATGTTTTGGTTTAAAAAAAAAATGGTTTGCGTTTGATAAATAAATTCAATCAAATTCAAGACAATCGCGGGTTATCAAAATTCAGAAGAGTTCAATTATGCCAACACGAACTGACAGAATAAAATAAAGAAGATAAAATTGAATAGCAAATAAAAGTAAATTTGAAAAAATAATAAAGAAATAAATTAAAAAAATAAACTCAAATTAAGTACAATAAATTGAAATGAAAGAGAATCACATAAATGAAACGAGCAAAATAAATAAAACAAAGGAGATACAGCACAGTATGACAGTGGTTGGTACACATGAGAAATGTTAACAGAATACGTGTATGCAAATAGGATTCAAATAAATTCATTGCACGAGTGCACGCCTGAGCCTAACAACACGCACATACACTCACATATAGACACAAACTCTGCAACATCCGCACCAAATAACTTAACAATATACAGTCCACCAACAAAGTGATTAACGAATTAATTAATTAATTGCAATATTAAAATAAAAATAAGTCAGCAAAGTAAAGTGGAAGATCAAGCAGTATTTATTCTTAGGTTTTTAGGAGAAAATGCCACATTTTTAAACGAAAAAAAAAAACAATAAAGAAATAACCATAAAATAAAATAAATGGAATTGCCCAAATCGAAATCATTTTTGTTTTGTTTGTGTCTTATATGCAGCGCCAATTAAATTATATATGTATATATATAATAAAAAAATAAAAAAAAATTATTTTGATGTCAAGATGCTCCACGGTGTGGGAGGCCAATTGTCTAAAATGTCGATATAATAATGGAGTTCGTCTGGTCTTACATGATAGTGAGCACTAATTTGGAGCTAAATATTTGCACAAAAAAACAGTATGGAATCACTTGAAAAAGCCTGGATACACAAAGAAAGCAACGAGCAAGCACTTCATATGCTGAATTTCCATCCGCAATTCTGGAAGCCGATGGTGACTGGTAATGAAAAGTGGATCATTTAGAGTAGTCGAAAGGACGAGAGTCGGTACAAACGGTATCCAAGCCATTTTGACGGTCACGGAGATTTTTTTTGTGTTCGGTGAGATTGGCGAAGCATCATCCCCTACGGCTAAGCTTTTAATTCTGACCTGTTCTCTCGGTAATTGGACCGTCTGAAGAACGCAATCGCCTAGAAGCGCAAAAAGCCAGTTGGAGATTTCATCAGGACAACGCCAAACCGCACACATCGATAGACACTCCCCAGAAACTTCGAGAGCGTGGTTTATTGTCCCAATTTTACCAATAGAGGCATGGGATACTATGTGAGAGGCATAATGATAATGATTACCATCAAAAGGCAAAAAATTATCATACAAAATAGGTGCTTATTTGAAAAGAATCCGATAGTTCGAACTATGGCAAGCACAGCTGAAATAATGGCCTAATAAACATAATAATCGATCGCTGCAACAGGAAAATGGTTCTCTTAATAATGCAAAACTGTAAGAGAATGACATAATAATTAAACGAAAAAAGTTTCACCGAAATCAATGTGATTGTACTTGAAATTCATGAACAAGACAGAAACAATTAAATGTAAGAAGCATATGTGGAAAACAATTAAGACAACATACATACTATATACATATGTATGTATGTCCAAAAGTACACTACAGTTGCTGACAGACTGCAACGCACGCTAATGTTCCAACGCTAATTGCATCCAACAAGCGGCCGAGTACATGAACACATACATGCACATACGAAAGTACAAAAACAGCATAATAAAATCGTTCAGCACAGCGGGACCTTAAAAAGTTACAGTTTACAAAAACCTGCGAATTAAATTATGCCAACAACATGAGCGTTCAAATGCCGACAATAGCCAACAAGCTGTGGCCAAACGCGTTCGCATGTGCGTACGCGCTTAAAGATTGCTCATACTCAATACCGCCTGGCGCTCGCTGGCGCCACGATTAAAGCGACAGCAGCAGCGGCAGCAACAAGTTGTCGTTGCGACGCAATGGGACATTTTGCAGCGAAACGTCTGCATTTTAATTCCGCAATTTAATTATGCATAATCAATTCACATAGGAAATTAATTGCCTGGGAAATTCAGTAGTCGCCAATATAGCCATGCATTTACTCGTGCATACGTGTATATGTACGAATATGTACAATATGTATATACGAGCATACATAAACATAACATTCATTTATGCTTTGTATGAACATACATATGTTCGTGTATGTAGGGATGTGCACATGTTTATTGGTCAATTAGTCAGTTGAGGTCGGCAATTGCGTTTTGTGTTTCATTTTTATTGGCTTTTGCAGCGCTCTGCCTTTGATAAAAAAATTATATTCTGACTTTTTCTCTTTGCTTCTTCCAGGTGCCGAAGCAACGTCGTATCGTCGTGCGCGTACAATGCAAGAACATTAAACACGAATGTCCGCCGACATTGTGCAGTGACCCAGTACAGCTGCCCGGTAAATGTTGCAAAACATGTCCTGATAAAAATGGTAAGCGTGAGATTTCTGTTTTTTGTTTTATTTGCGCTGCAAATCAGCAATGCCAGCAGTTTCTGTGGTGGGTTAGTTACAAGTTGTCATGTAAACTGTCAGCAGGAATAAGAAGAAGAGGTAGGAAAACAGACACAAAAAAATCGTCTTCAATTCGCTAAGGACTTAACGAGCAGCGACACAAGCGATAATAAATTGAAATTAAGGAGCAGAGAACTATCAAACCGAAGCTGTCTCGTGATTTTTATCGAAATTTAAAGAGCGCTCAGTTTTTTCTGCTGAATGACATCCTGCCAACCAAATATTCGTAAAAATATTTTCACAATGTCGATTGTATTTTTTTTTTTATTTAATAATTTTATCACTTTTTCAATTTTTTTGTCAAAGCTTAACGGGCTGTCTATACTGAATTCTGCGTTGCCTTTTCTTTTGTTGCTGTCGCCGTGTTCACTCGTACGCTGATAAATAATGCAATATAAATAACATTTGTATGTACATACTACGTATATGTATGCAAATACCCATGTATGTACGTATGTATATTATGTTTGTGAAATGACCTTCACGGATTTATTTTCTTTCATTTCCAAATACCACTCTCACTCCTCGCACGCACACACACACACAGACGCAGACATGCGCCCGCACTCATTCTGCTGCTGCTGCTGCTCCTGACGTAAGATGATTCACAGCGAAGCTGGCGAATGAAACGAAGGTGGGAGGCAGCGCACAGTCATTAAGACGATGAAAAAGCGTCTGACGGACGCTTTGTCTGGCAACAAAATAAATGAATAATAATTTTGGGCGACAGCAAAATAATCGGAAAACAACTTATTTAACAAGCGTTCGCGGTGAAAGATACAGAAACAGACACTTGTAAGCGTCTGCTGCTGTGCGGCCGATAACTGCCCTTGTAATTTGCCTGTTGCTGATTTTTTAGTCCACAAATTGTTGTTGGATTACCATACGGATTTCATATTGTCGTTTTATTTTTTAATTTTTATTGTATCTACTCGTACATACGTGTATGCATGCATATTCCGGCGAGTCGATGTTTTGACATCCTCAATTGGCTTTGTGCCTTCAGCGCAGACCTGAGCGCCAGCGTGCGCTTGTGTGTGCTTGGTAAACGTTTGCGAATCTGATGCAAAGTGTGTACGTTTGTGGTATCAGTCGCCGCCAGCACTAACAACAATAACAACCACAACAACCACAACAACATGCCACATTAAACGTTTCGACAACCATTTACCCGCCACATTCCAATTTTTAACGAAGAAAAAACATTTGATTTCTCTTTATTTATTTACTTGAGGTCTTTTCGTACATACATACGAGTACATACATATATCATCGGAATTTATGGCTGTGCAAATGTGCGTAGCAAAAGAAAAATTAGCAAATTAAAAATAATATAAAGTCAGCAAAGTGACAGCAAAATTTAAAACACTACGAGGAGCATTAATGTTTTAGTGCGAAATTCTGTTTTTTATACAAACAAATTTTCGTGTGTTTGAAGGTGTGCCGCCTGCCGGTGTGGGTGGGTGTGTGTTTGAAAATTAATAATATTTGCGAAAATTTGCATAATTTGTGTGAAGGAAGGAATTTTCTGCTACCGCCAAATACAAATAAACACAAATTATAAAAAAAAATTAATAATAACAACAACAAACCTTGTAGCTATCGCTAGCAGCGAAGATTCAACTACTGTGCAGGCGGGTGCGTCGCTTAGAGTTGGCAGCGACTAATAAATTGACTTGCCAATTGCTGTTAGGCGTTATTAGTTTGTCTGAGTTTTCTTATTTGAAGTTGTTTTTTTTTTCTTTGTGAACATACATACATACATACACAATAAATTAAATTACGTAAAATAACATAAAATTAAAACATAAAAAAAACTTGAGCATGAAAAACAGTTTTACTGGGTACTCGTTTCGCTTAGGAGTAAATATTCTATCGAGCTTGGTGGTGGTAGAAATTAAGACAACATACATACTATATACATATGTATGTATGTCCAAAAGTACACTACAGTTGCTGACAGACTGCAACGCACGCTAATGTTCCAACGCTAATTGCATCCAACAAGCGGCCGAGTACATGAACACATACATGCACATACGAAAGTACAAAAACAGCATCATAAAATCGTTCAGCACAGCGGGACCTTAAAAAGTTACAGTTTACAAAAACCTGCGAATTAAATTATGCCAACAACATGAGCGTTCAAATGCCGACAATAGCCAACAAGCTGTGGCCAAACGCGTTCGCATGTGCGTACGCGCTTAAAGATTGCTCATACTCAATACCGCCTGGCGCTCGCTGGCGCCACGATTAAAGCGACAGCAGCAGCGGCAGCAACAAGTTGTCGTTGCGACGCAATGGGACATTTTGCAGCGAAACGTCTGCATTTTAATTCCGCAATTTAATTATGCATAATCAATTCACATAGGAAATTAATTGCCTGGGAAATTCAGTAGTCGCCAATATAGCCATGCATTTACTCGTGCATACGTGTATATGTACGAATATGTACAATATGTATATACGAGCATACATAAACATAACATTCATTTATGCTTTGTATGAACATACATATGTTCGTGTATGTAGGGATGTGCACATGTTTATTGGTCAATTAGTCAGTTGAGGTCGGCAATTGCGTTTTGTGTTTCATTTTTATTGGCTTTTGCAGCGCTCTGCCTTTGATAAAAAAATTATATTCTGACTTTTTCTCTTTGCTTCTTCCAGGTGCCGAAGCAACGTCGTATCGTCGTGCGCGTACAATGCAAGAACATTAAACACGAATGTCCGCCGACATTGTGCAGTGACCCAGTACAGCTGCCCGGTAAATGTTGCAAAACATGTCCTGATAAAAATGGTAAGCGTGAGATTTCTGTTTTTTGTTTTATTTGCGCTGCAAATCAGCAATGCCAGCAGTTTCTGTGGTGGGTTAGTTACAAGTTGTCATGTAAACTGTCAGCAGGAATAAGAAGAAGAGGTAGGAAAACAGACACAAAAAAATCGTCTTCAATTCGCTAAGGACTTAACGAGCAGCGACACAAGCGATAATAAATTGAAATTAAGGAGCAGAGAACTATCAAACCGAAGCTGTCTCGTGATTTTTATCGAAATTTAAAGAGCGCTCAGTTTTTTCTGCTGAATGACATCCTGCCAACCAAATATTCGTAAAAATATTTTCACAATGTCGATTGTATTTTTTTTTTTATTTAATAATTTTATCACTTTTTCAATTTTTTTGTCAAAGCTTAACGGGCTGTCTATACTGAATTCTGCGTTGCCTTTTCTTTTGTTGCTGTCGCCGTGTTCACTCGTACGCTGATAAATAATGCAATATAAATAACATTTGTATGTACATACTACGTATATGTATGCAAATACCCATGTATGTACGTATGTATATTATGTTTGTGAAATGACCTTCACGGATTTATTTTCTTTCATTTCCAAATACCACTCTCACTCCTCGCACGCACACACACACACAGACGCAGACATGCGCCCGCACTCATTCTGCTGCTGCTGCTGCTCCTGACGTAAGATGATTCACAGCGAAGCTGGCGAATGAAACGAAGGTGGGAGGCAGCGCACAGTCATTAAGACGATGAAAAAGCGTCTGACGGACGCTTTGTCTGGCAACAAAATAAATGAATAATAATTTTGGGCGACAGCAAAATAATCGGAAAACAACTTATTTAACAAGCGTTCGCGGTGAAAGATACAGAAACAGACACTTGTAAGCGTCTGCTGCTGTGCGGCCGATAACTGCCCTTGTAATTTGCCTGTTGCTGATTTTTTAGTCCACAAATTGTTGTTGGATTACCATACGGATTTCATATTGTCGTTTTATTTTTTAATTTTTATTGTATCTACTCGTACATACGTGTATGCATGCATATTCCGGCGAGTCGATGTTTTGACATCCTCAATTGGCTTTGTGCCTTCAGCGCAGACCTGAGCGCCAGCGTGCGCTTGTGTGTGCTTGGTAAACGTTTGCGAAGCTGATGCAAAGTGTGTACGTTTGTGGTATCAGTCGCCGCCAGCACTAACAACAATAACAACCACAACAACCACAACAACATGCCACATTAAACGTTTCGACAACCATTTACCCGCCACATTCCAATTTTTAACGAAGAAAAAACATTTGATTTCTCTTTATTTATTTACTTGAGGTCTTTTCGTACATACATACGAGTACATACATATATCATCGGAATTTATGGCTGTGCAAATGTGCGTAGCAAAAGAAAAATTAGCAAATTAAAAATAATATAAAGTCAGCAAAGTGACAGCAAAATTTAAAACACTACGAGGAGCATTAATGTTTTAGTGCGAAATTCTGTTTTTTATACAAACAAATTTTCGTGTGTTTGAAGGTGTGCCGCCTGCCGGTGTGGGTGGGTGTGTGTTTGAAAATTAATAATATTTGCGAAAATTTGCATAATTTGTGTGAAGGAAGGAATTTTCTGCTACCGCCAAATACAAATAAACACAAATTATAAAAAAAAATTAATAATAACAACAACAAACCTTGTAGCTATCGCTAGCAGCGAAGATTCAACTACTGTGCAGGCGGGTGCGTCGCTTAGAGTTGGCAGCGACTAATAAATTGACTTGCCAATTGCTGTTAGGCGTTATTAGTTTGTCTGAGTTTTCTTATTTGAAGTTGTTTTTTTTTTTCATTGTGAACATACATACATACATACACAATAAATTAAATTACGTAAAATAACATAAAATTAAAACATAAAAAAAAACTTGAGCATGAAAAACAGTTTTACTGGGTACTCGTTTCGCTTAGGAGTAAATATTCTATCGAGCTTGGTGGTGGTAGACTCATACTAATTATATAGATTATTAGATTATATCCTCATCTTTTGTTCTAAATGACTGACAGATCAGACCATTATCATTATGTAGAGCATAAACCCCAGATCGCACAGGTCAGAAATTTGGAGGTTATATTCTGCGGATGGCGTAGACGTCCGATAGGATATGGTTTTTGGGGAAACATCGAATTTACATGAAATTCGGCACCAAGATAGCTTTTGCTTTTTTTTCTTCTTGAAACCGATCTATTAAACAAAATTATTTTTGGTTCGATTTTGCTAGATATGTGGAACGTGAATGTATGTGTTTTGACGGTGGGTCTTAGTTTTTCAAACAATATCCTCGGTAGGACTTTAAAAAGTAATCTTTTTAAAAAGTACTCTAGCAAATTCAATATCGATTCAAAATTTGTTTAATAGACACTTCTTACTTTGGTTATTCGCATACAAGGTGACCTGACAATTAGCTGGGCATCTTTATTAGCCACAGCAAAATGAGTTGTTATCTGGTCTGATGATGAGAGTCAAATCTTGATATCTGAATGACAAGCCAATACTAATAGTTTGACATGCGCCGCCGAATTGTTAAAACAAGAAGCGTCAAAATATTTTTCACGCATTTGCAAGCCGACGTACTGAGCCAGAATCCTTCTATACCGATTGCCACCGACTGTTTCTTTGAATTTGTGGATAAATGGCAAAGGGGTTCCATATTTACACACCGACATAGATGATGGCGCACCCTGTAAATAAAACATAAATGAATCGGTGTAGTGTTGTTTGATAAATTGCCTGCGCTTTCTCTTGCCTTCGCTAATGTCGAATATTTTCCGAGCAGCTGTTCACAATCATTTGTTTTATGCGTCGCAGCATTTTTGCATGATTTTGTGGTATTTCTGATATTAATACATAGTATTATTTGGTAATAGTAAGGTATTCAAAAAATTAAATGAACTAATATGATTCAGATTAATTTTAATCTGTACGAAAGAAAAATTAAGGTCTTTAGCTAATAAGAAACGCTGAGTCTTGGGGCCAATTCTTCACTAGCGAAGTTGTTCGCCAGACACAGAAACAGGTGGTAACTGTTCGAAGCTTCTGGTGTATCATCCCTCTCCTGTTGACCAAAACTCAGCGCGAGTGCTTCGTGCAGACGGTGGAGTTCAGAGGGAGCAGCTCATTGCGGATGATTCGGTCAGATGTTTTATACTATTTTATCGATATATTCCGCATTGGCATTCCACACCGACTTTGGATTTTTTCTTTACTGGTATCCATCTATAACATGAGCTCGAACACCACCGAATTAAGTGATCAACACTTCTCCCCCGTTCTTTTGAGTACAAAATATTATCTTTCCAACGACGTCTAGCGGAATCCAATAGCACTTATAGAACGCGAGGAGCAGATCTCTTAAGTCATCTACTGTGAAAATAATGGATTGCTTTTCACTAATATTAAATTAATATTTGCCATTTAAGCCAGTTTTTCACTACATACCTACATACTTACATATATATTTTATAGAAAACCACACAAAAAAAATATTTCTTCATTGTTTTCCGCTACATTATTAAGCATTTGAATATTTAAATGAATTTATAGCAAATGATTATTACGTTTCGGGTTAATAATGTTTATTTAAATTGAGTTTTAATTAATATAATTTAATATAATTAAAAATTTGTTTTATTCGTACCAATATTTCCACCTTAATTGCTAATGATGTTATTGGCAATTTTCCTTACATATTTTACATATATATAATATTTATATATATATTAATATTCTTTTAATTTTAAAATTATCTTTTCCTAATATTTATTTATTTATTTGCGAGCATTAAGTAAAACATTAAATTTAATGGCTATTGGGCGCGCATCTGTTCGTTTTTATTTTTGAAAATTTATTAAAACTTTAAATGACTAAAACATCAGTTAGCTTGCAGATGCGGTAAGCAGTGGGGGAAACAAAAACAACAACAACATTATTAAAAGAAATGGAATAAATCTACATTCGCAACTGAAATCTCACGCGCTAAACAACGCACACTCATAGTAACATTTACATACTCTTGCATATATGTATGTACATACATATAGATATATAAAATACATGTGTTTGTCGCCTTGACTTGCTGTGTTAGCTTTTATGTTGTTGGCGTCGTGTGGTTTTGTTTCAGGGTGGCGCCCACAAAGTTCTTTTACAAATTGAATTTTTCCACTGCAATTTTTTTCTTAAATTTATCGAAAATTACAACAAATACTTAAAACATAGATCACACGTGCTAATAAATATATTTTAGAAACAAGAAACAAAAAACAATGCATTTGATATATTCACACATACACATATACATAGTTGATTAATGAAAATAAACATATGTGTATATGTATTTATGTAGAATATATTATATGCATAATATGTTAAAATTGGCTTTATAGACACAAAAACAAATATCACCCTCAATCGGGCTGGCCACAAAGCACAAATAACCGACTGCGCACTACCAGTCAGCACACTGAGGTCCATTTGGTCGCTCATTTTCCAACACTCATATGCCTCACTCATGCCGTGTTCGCCGCCAGCAAAATTTTTTTCTTTGTTTTCTTTTTTTTTTTTTGTAGTATTTACTTTTTTAATCTTTTCGTATTTCTGTTCAACTAATTTTTTAGTTTTTCACTTAAAATTATTATTTTTTGTCTCGCAGAGGAGAGCCTCTAACTCATACCATAATTCAGCTTTCTTTCTTTATCTTCATGGCAGCAAAGCTGAAGCACTTAAGAACTAAAACAGATGATCTCAACAATAACAACAACAGCAATCGATATAAACGAGTATATATTTATAGTTGAATATGTATGTTCATACATACATACAAATGTATGTATTTCTTTAAAACGATGATTCAGCTCGACTAATTTTCTGCATGAATTGAATTCATAATTAGAACTTGAAGGCGTGCTCGAAAGAGTTGCTAGCTACACACATACACACAAACGCGCGCATTTGTAGAGATAGATAGCCC